GGTCCCAGCTCCCCTCTTATGGTTTCTGTCATAATGTGCTTTATCTGATTGACTCCAAACATGCCCAAATGTCACCTGCAGATTTCTCGTGGGAACCAATATGTACATGTTTGCAATTATGTTGTGAGAATTTAAATGTGTTAGACGGAAAATGCTATTGGCAGGGAATAATTTAAAAAAAAAAAAAAGAAAAGAAAATCATTCTGTTTCCTGCAGTGGGAACTGCCCATGTAGTCTTAACAGTCTTTTGTACAAATATCTACAAAGCAGATAATATCCCTATCCAGTGCTTGCCCTTGGAATTGTCTCTAAATGCATCAAGCATACAATAAAAAAAAAAACTGAAATTAACATCCAGTGGAGTGGCCTCTTCTGTTTTGTGTCTCATAAATAAATGTGGGCCTCAGTCACAACATAGAAGATGTATGAGAAGAGATATATTTTTCTGGCTGGAATATTCAGTAAACAGTCAGTTCAGCAGTTTCTTGCATTATGTAATGTTCTGTGGGTAAATTCAGTCTTTAAATATAAAACCACAACGAAGTATCACCTCACACCCATCAGGATAGCTACTATCAGAAACAACAACAACAACAACAACAACAACAACAAACCACAACCAGAAAATAACAAATGTGGGTGAGGATGTGGAGAAATTGGAACCCTTATGCACTGTTGGTTGGAATGTAAAACAGTGCATCCATCGTGGGAAACAGTATGGAGTTGCTCAAAAAACTAAAAATAGAACTACCCTGTAATCGGGCAATCCCACTTCTGGGTATACACAACAGAGCTGAAAGTAGGGTCTGGAAGAGAGGTTGCACACCCATGTTCATAGTAGCACTATTCACAGTGCGAAAATCTGGAAGCAACTCAAGTATCCACAGATGGAAGAATGGAGAAACAAAATGTGTTATATCCATACAATGGAATATTATTCATCCTTTTTAAAAAATGGCAGCAGATTCTGACATGCTACGACATGGATGAACCTTAAGGATGTTATGCTCTGTGAAATTAACCAGTCACGAATATTATATGGTTTCATTTTGATGAGGTACCTAGAGCAGTCAAAATCATAGGGACAGAAATTAGAAGGGTGGTTGCTCAGGCTGGTGTGGGGGAGAAATTGGGAGTTACTGTTTAATGAGTATAGAGTTTCAGAAAGTTTTGCAAGATGAGTTATGGAGAGGGATGGTGGTGACGGTTGTACAACAATATGAATGTACACAACACGAATGAATTAAACACTAAACATGGTAAGGATGGTAGACTTTATGTGTATTTTACCACAGTTACTAGAATGGAAGTCTAGATCATCAGAGTGGCTGGTACTGTCTTTACCAGGCATCTTGATTCCAAGGCGTTAGCAATGTCACAACAGGAGAGGATGCCACTTAGGGAAAAAGCCAGCTCTCTCCACTCCTGTGACCCAGAAATGCCAGCTTGCTTTCCATGACTCTCTCTCCACTGTGACAGGCAAAACGCAACTGAATGTCTGGCTCGTGAAGATAGGACTTAGTCACCTGCAGTGAGTGACCTGTTTCAAGGTCAGGGTAGATGACTGCTCTGTTTACATGACAAGGAACTGCTAATTCTGAAATTTTATTCCCAGTTCTCTTTTCATAAACATTGTACCCTCCTGCACAGCTCTGGGTGACCGAGCCTGTATTCTTTTGCCGGGGCTGCCGTCACAAAGTACCACAAACTGGGCAGCATAACCAGGAGAAATTTCCTGGTTCCCAGTTCTGGAGCGCAGACGTCCCAGGAATAAGGCGTCTGCAGGGTTGGTTCCTTTTGAGGGCCGTGAGAGAGAATGTGTTTCATGTCTCTTGCCACCTTCTGGTGGCTTGCTGGCAATCTTCAGCACTTTGGGGCCCACAGAAGCAGCATCCTGATTATCTCTGCCTTCATCTTCATGTGGCGTTCTCCCTGTGTCTTATGTCTGTGTCCAATTTCTTCATTTTATAAGGACACCAGTCATATTGCATCAGGGGCCCACGCGGATCCAGTATGACCTCATCTTAACTAACGGAATCTGCAATGGGCCTATTTCTAAATAAGGTCACATTCTGAGGTACTGGGGCTTAGGACTTCAACATATTGATTTTGTGGGGACACAATTCAACCCATAACAGAATGGGTGGATGGAGGATGCTGAAGCCTCCCGGGGCACCGTCTGAGAATTTGGAACTTGCTTCTGGAGTCCACAGCCCTTCCCATTAACTTGCTCCCTCTCTAGGAACCATGTCTCCCACACTTAACTCCATAAAAGGCGCTTACACTTCTAGCTACTTCACCACTGCCACACTCAATGTGACTTTGAAGTTCATCATCCACTTTGTAGATTGTCTTCGGCCCTTACTTTTTCTTCCCCACTCAGACCGGCCCTTTTGGCCATGAAAGAGCCAATCTGTACCTCCACCAATAAAAGCGATAAAACGGCCCCTTAACTAATTCTGATGCAAAGTATGTAGTAACCAGCTTTGAAATTAGTTTCTAGATGAGATTTATTTCAGGAACATCTATGAATTTTAATGACTGCTCTCTCATTGTTATCCAGCAGCAGAGTTAGTGAAGTGTGGTCTGAGCAGCTCAGCAAATACTGAATGGAGTGCCTGGGATGCAGCCAGCAGAGCCCTGTTTGTGCCCAAGCACGGAATCAGCAAACTGACTGCTCCCCGGGGTGCAGGGTGTGCAGTCATTGGCTCCGTTGTGATCCAAGGGCTGGGCTTGCCCATGTGTCTTACATCATTGAATCTTCACCAGTATACACTCGGATACATATTTATGTTCCCTTTTGACAAAAGAGGAAGCTGAGGCACAGACTGTAAGAGGCAACATGTAAGAGGCAACATGTAAGAGGCAAAACGGAGATTCAGATCCTGGTTTGCCCTCCAAGCACTATCTCTGAGATAGCTTGCCTAGCAGATAAATCTCACCTCCCCTGAACCCTGTTCCCAAAGGTCCACCTTAAAATGCTACGGGGGGATTCAAGACAATTCTATTCCTACAGGAGGCTTTTTTGAGGGGTTTGCTGAGGTGGGAGTGGGGCTAAGTGCACCTAGGGTGAAGGTTGTTCTATTTCAACACAATTTAGCAGAATTTATAAGCAATACTCCGCCCATTCTATGTTAATCAAACTGAATATAGTGTTATCTACTTTTTAAAAAATGCACCTGAGAAATTTTTTTTTCTTGCTTGGTTTTTCCAAATATCAGTTAGGCTAGTTAGCTCAAGAAAGAAAGGCCCTGTTATCTAACACAGTATGTTACAGCAAGCACTCTATCCATATAAATATCTATTTTTTTCCTGTCATTCTTAGAACTTCAACTTCTCCTGATCCTTAAAAATGTCTGGTTTAGATTAATATTGGTGAACATTGATGGGTTTTAACAAGGAAACGACTGGAAGCATTTCCACTTACTAAAGTTTATTAAGTACAAAGAAATTAATCTGCAGAAGGAGACATCAATAAAAATAAAATACAGGTGAAACATTGGAGGAGTCACAGACTGCAGTGTCAGTGAGAATATATGACAATGGTGGGGACTGTATGACTCAGATGTCTTTAAGTATGAGTTTACAGTCAAGGGGTTAAACCTTTACACCGCCAAAGGAACTCAGTGCACCAGCATGAGCTCCAAGGGTTGTGAATTCAGTGATAGGTCTCAAGGGGAGATGGGATGCCACATTCCTGAGATTTCTCCCTAATTGCCATTTTTGGTTTCTGCTCCTTCCTCCCCTCTGTCCTTTTTTTTTTTTTTTGAATTAGGGTCTCGCTCTGTTGCCCAGGCTGGAGTGCAGTAGCACCATCTCAGCTCACTGCAACCTCCGCCTCCAGGGTTCAAGTGATTCTTGTGCCTGAGCCTCCCAAATTGCTGGGATTACAGGTGTGAGCCACCACGCCCAGCTAATTTTTTGTATTTGAGTAGAGACAGGGTTTCACCATGTTGGCCAGGCTGGCCTTGAACTCCTGACCTCAAGTAATCCACCCACCTCGGCCTCCCAAAGTGCTGGGATTACATGCGTGAGCCACTGCTCCCGGCCCCCTCTGTCCTTAAATAGTGTTATTTTAATTTCCATCCCAGCCACAGGGGACACGAATGCCTAAACACCTCATTAGGGCAGGCAGTCTACTCTGAAGGTGGAATTGCCTTTGTTTAGGGTCTTCTTAATCAGGATCATTAAAACTTTTATAATTATTTTATACAACTGTGAGGGCGGTGGAGTGGACAATGTTATAATAATACATTCTGGCTTTTTGGAAATCTTCCAGAACCAATAAAACAAATTAGTTATGCCCAGAGCTGATGACCTGCAAAAACTTCTTTCCTATTGATTTAGCTGTTACAGTTTTGGCTTGATTCATTCCCCCAGAGACGGGAATTTGACCCTGGCTCACTTGCTTCCATCTGGAATGAGAAAGCACAGCACTGCGGCAGAACACCACCTGGGTCTTTACTCCAGACAACAGTGGGGCAGATGCAGTCATGTTTGTCCACACCCTCCTGACCGGCTGCCTTTCTGGATGGCTTGGTCTGGACACGATATCCTTCGGGGGTGAATGTGTGTGTGGGGTGTTGCAAAGCAAATTTCTTTTTCACTGGCTTCCCTCCCCTCCCTGCCTGATTTCCTTTAAAGGGCAGCTATTTTGAGCACAGCCCAGGGATCAGTCTGTTTCCTTCTATTTTTTCTCCTTCCTCTGTCACAGTCTTCCCCGACCAAGGATGGGGAACATCAGGGATCAGGCACACACTTCCCCTCCCTGCAGGATCAAGAAGAGGGAGTGAAGAGCAGGCCCAGCCCGGCCTGCCCTTTTCCATATTCAGAGTGGCTGAGCTTGCACACATCTCCCCACGGACAGGTGCTCACCACAAGGGGATGAATGTGGAGTTGTCAGGCAGGGTTCTCCTTTAGCTCAGAAGGGAGCTAGGTTTTGCCCGATGGGTGGCTCCAAGGGTCCTAAGAAGGGGGCGGTGAGGCACCAGGTATTTGTGGCAGGTATTTCACATGATGTTTCATTCTACACTTTTTCATGTCATATTTTCCATGAAGTCCACACTTGAAGCCAGGGCAGAAGGGGAGACCTCTGAGATACAATGGGTAGTTTAGCATAATGATGAGTTGTGTATGTTTTTAATCTGCAGGGAAGAAATAGCAAAATCTCGTAAAGCTGGCTACCGGGATGGGACTGGGAACTTGGAGGGAACAGAAGGAAAGTGACGGAGACTTGGGCACTAGGGACACTGTAAACAGTAGGAGCATTGGCTACTTGGAGGATTATTCAGTTACAAAAGGGGCCCTGTGGTCGGCATCTGAGGGGCCAAGCCCACTCTTGCCTTTACTTTGTGATATATTTACATTAAGCAGAAAAAAAAAAAAATCCCTGTACTGCAAAATGAAAGCGAGACATGGCATCTCGTTCCCTGGAGGCTGCGCGGCACTGTCTGGGTGTGGGGAACACACTATTTCCTCTGAGCTGCGTCATTGATAAGGCATTGTTTGGTTTGATTTTGCAGTTAGTGTGATGAGAATATAAAATCATGCCAATAAGAAGCCGTTGTGGATATTTATAACTTTGGGGCTACCTGCAAACGAAGGACTCTCTACAAACGGTTCAGAATCTAGGAAGGGCCAGCCTGCAAGCGTATTCACAGTCATGGAGTGGGCACTAGGTGGAGGGACAGGGCTCTATCTGAGCTGACAGACAAATGCCAAGATGCAGTGTAAAAAAACGGAAAAATGAGGGGTGTTTTAAAAAATATTACTGAAATAAAAGTCCATTAAAATACTGCTTTAAAGCCCGTGCAAACCACGTATTTACAATAAATAAATTCTCAATTCCAAGCCTGTATGCCAACTGAATTACAGCTTGAGCATGGAGTGGGCGGGGTCTGACATGTTCTGCAACCTGGAACCCCAGGACCTTGGCTTCATCTGTCTTCTCACCGAAGAGTCTTCAGAGATAACTGTGGAAACGTAACAGAACATTACCAGGTGGAGTTAGAAGACTCTTGCACATGAAAGCCCTCCTCCTCCACCTCCCCCAAACAGGCTGGGCACCGCAGCTTCTCATTCGTGCAAGGCTGTCAAGTTTGGGGAGATGCTTATGCAAAGAGCTGCTTTTTACCCAAGGGGCTGTGGGTGGAAATGTGATGAAATGGGATATGTAGTTGATGGTATGTGAGGACCTAATACTGTCTTATAAGCATTTATAGAACCGATCATCAGCAATTCACTTGACAGAAAGCTCAGGGAAATCAAAAAACGTGCTGAAGATCCCAAGTCAAGGCAGTGGAAAAGCAAGAAACAGATTTAGGCATTCAGACTTCCAGCCCAGGGCTCCCACCCATGCACTGACCACTCTATCCATGCAAAAGAGCAGTCCCTGGGGTATTGTTTGCAATGTCTAGAACCCAGTGATTTCTCTGGGTGATTGTTTTGTGTCTCACTGCAATGAAAATGAATTAAGATGGTATCCAGTGAGATATAAGGATCTTTTTGACTGTGGAACGCCCAAAGGAGACATTACAATCCACCTTGACTAGACTGGCAGGCGGAGATCAAAACCACCAGACTCAGGTGATCTGGGTGCACGCCTGCCATGAAGCTGGGAACCAGATCCTGCACAATGTCTGACACATTGGTAGTGAGGAGGATTCTTGTCCCTGGAGATTCTAACATGCCAGGAAAAGCAGTGAGGCCTTATGGAAGAAGCACTGGACAAGAGGTCAGAAGGTCTGGGTATTGTGACATGGGCAAGTTCTTCAAATTTCTAGAGCAGTTTTCTGTAAAAATGGCATTAAAGGTATCTCTCCAGCTTCCATCACAGGGTTATTAAAAGGACTAGATGATATAACTTATGCAAGCTAACTGAAAAATGTAAAGAGCCATACAAATATGAAGGAACATGATTATGATTATTACTATATTTTCCTGATGACGGGAATAGTATAATCATTGTAGAAAACTTGGAAATTGCACAAATGCAAAAAGAAGAAAGTAGAAATCAGCCATAGTCTTCCAGAGTGAATGCCTATTAACGTTTTTTCTCCATTTTTATTGTGGTAAAATATAAATAACATAAAATTTACACTAGTAACTTTTTTTTGGGGGCGGGGGGACAGAGTTTCACTCTTGTTGCCCAGGCTGGAATGCAATGGTATGATCTCGGCTCACTGCAACCTCTGCCCATGGGTTCAAGCAATTCTCCTGCCTCAGCCTCCCAGGTAGCTGATATTACAGGCATGCGCCACCATGCCTGGCTAATTTTGTATTTTTAGTAGAGATGGGGTTTCTCCATGTTGGTCAGGCTGGTCTCGAACTCCCAATCTCAGGAGATCCAACTGCCTTGGCCTCCCAAAGTGCTAGGATTACAAGCATGAGCCACCACACCCAGCTGACTAGTAATCATTTTTAAGTGTCTAATTTAGGAGTATTAAATACATTCATAATGTTGCGCAAGCAATCATCAGTACCCACTTTTGTTTAACTCTTTTCATCTTGTAAAACTGAGACTCTGTACCCATTAAACAATACCTCTCAATTTTCTTTTTCTCTCTAATCTCTGGCAAGCACCAGTCTACTTTCTGTCTCTACTACCGTAAGTACTTATGTAAATGGAAGCATATAGTGTTTGTCTTTTGTGAGTGGCTTATTTCACTTAGAATAATGTTCTCAAAGTTCATCCATATTGAAGCATATTTTAGAACTTCCTACTTTTTAAGCTGGATAATATTCCACTGTACATGTGTATATCACATTTTGTTTATCCATTCATTTACCTATGATACTTGAGTTGCTTCTGTATTTTATTTATTTTATTTTACTTTTCCAAGTTCAGGTCAGATGGGTAATGTGCCAAGGTTGTAACAAGGTTCAGAGGTGGCACATCTCACATATGCACATGAATACCCAATCATCGCGCTCATGAACTACAAAAGGATCAAGCTGCTTCTACATTTTAGCTACTGTAAATAATGCTGCTATGAACATGGGTGTACAAATACCTCTTCCAGGCTCTGCTTTAGATTCTTTTGGGTATATACCCAGAAGTGGAAGTGCCAGATCATATGGTAATTCTGTTTTTTATTTTTTGAGGAACTGCCATACTGTTTTCCACAGCAGCTGTACCATTTCACATTCTCACCGACAGTGCATAAGGGTTCCATTTTCTCCACATCTTTGCCACCACTTGTAATTTTGTTTTGTTTTGATAGCAGACATCTTGATGTGTATGAGGTGTTGTCTCATTGTAATTTTGATTTGTATTTCTCTAATGATTAGTGATGCTGAGCAACTTTTCCTATGCTCATTGGCCATTTGTTTATCTTCTTTGGAGAAATGTCTATTCAAGTCCATTGCTCATTTTTAAATTAGGTTATTTGTTTTCTTGTTGTTGAGTTTCATAAGTTCTCTACATATTATGGATATTAATCTCTTATCAGATATATGATATGCAAATATGTCCTCCCATTCTGTGGGTTGCCTTTTCTTTTTTATATTGTCTTTGATATGCAAATTTTAAAGATTTTCACGAAGTCCAGTTTGCTTATTTTTTCTTCTGTTGCCTATGTCTTTAGTGTCATATCCAAGAAATCACTGTCAAATCTAATGTCATGAAGCTTTTGCCCTGTGTTTTCTCCTAAGAGTTTTACAGTTTCGTGCTTTGATCATTTGAGTAATTTTTGCATATGATCATTAGTAGGGTCCAACTTCATTCTCACATGGATGTCCAGTGTTCCTAGCATCATTTGTTGAAAATACTAGCCTTTTCTGATTGAATGGTCGGCAACTCTTGTTAATAATCCATTTGACCATATATGTAAGGGTTTTATTTCTTTTTATTCTATTGCTTTTTATTCTATCCCATTGGTCTATATGTCTGTCTTTACACCAGTACCACACTGTTTCAATTATTATAGTTTTGAAATAGGAAGTATGAATCCCCTAGATTCTTCTTCTTTTTCAAGATGGTTGTGGCTATCTCAAGGAGTTCCTTGAGATTCCATATGAATTTTAGGACTCTTCTTTTAGGATTCTGGATTTTTCTATTTTTGAAGAAAATGTCATTGAGATTTTGGTAGGAATTTATACTGAATCTGTAGATTGCTTTGGGTAATATTGACATCTTAACAATATTAAGTCTTCTAACCCATGAACATGGGATGTGTTTGCATTTATTTATGTCTTATTTAATTTATTTCAGCCGTGTTTTATAGTTTTCATTATACAAGTCTTTCACCTCTTTGGTTAACTGCTAAGTATTTCATTCTTTTCTATGCTATTATAAATGGAATTGTTCCTGTAATTTTCTCTTCAGATTGCTCATTGTTAGTATGTAGAAATACAACCGTATTTTTGTATATTGACTTCATATCCTGCTACTTTGCTGAGTATTTCTAACAGCTTTTTTTCTGGTGAAATCTTTAGGGTTTTCTACATATAACAACATATCATCTGCAAACAGAGATAATTTTACTTCTTGCTTTCCAATTTGGATGCCTTTTATTTTTTTTGTTGCCCAACTGCTCTGGATAGACTTCCAGTACTTTGCTGAATAGAAGCGATGAAAGCAGGCATCCTTGCCTTGTTCCTGATCTTAAAGCAAAAGCTTTCAGTCTTTCACCATTGAGCATGTTCACTGTAGATTCTTCATATATGGCTTTTATTATGCTAAGGGAGTTTCCTTCTATTCCTAGTTTATTGAGAATGTTTTTAATCATGAAAAGGTCTTCAATTTTGTCAAATGCTTTTTCTGCATCGATTGAGATGATCATGTGTTTTTTCCCTTCATCCTATTAATGCCATATATTGCATTAACTGATTTTTATATATTGAATAATCTTTGCCATGCAGGAATAAATCCAACTTGGTCATGGTATATAATCCTTTTAATGTACTACTGGATTTGATTTGCTAGTATTTTGTTGAGAATTTCTGCATCAATGTTTATAAGGGATATTGGTCTGTAGTTTTCTTGTAGTGTCTTTGTCTGGCTTTGGTATTAGGATAATGCTGGTCTCATAGAATAGATAAAAAATGTTCCCTCCTCTTCAATTTTGTGGAACTATTTTAGAGGGATTGGGTTGGTTTCTTGAACATTTGGTAGAATTCACCAATGAAGCCATGAATTCCAGAGCTTTTCTTTTTTGGGAGACATTTGATTAATGGTTAAATGTCCTTACTAGTTATAAGTCTATTCAGATTTTCTATTTCTTTTTTTTGGTGGGCACATAGTAGGTGTATATATTTATGGGGTACATGAGATGTTTTGATACAGGTATGCAATGAGTGATCATCACATCATGGAAAATGGGGTATACATCCCCTTAAGCATTTATCCTTTGTGTTACAGACAATCCAATTATACTCTTTGAGTTATTTTAAACTGCACCGTTAAATTATTATTGACTATAGTCACCTGTTGTGCTATCAAATAGTAGGTCTTATTTATTCTTTCTATTTTTTTATACCAATTAACCATCCCCAACTCTACTCCCCCACTAAGTTTTTGTAACCATCCTTCTACTCTCTATCTCTTCTTTTCTTTCTTTCTTTTTCTTCTTTTTGAGCAGGGGTCTCACTCTGTCACCTGGCTGTAGTGCAATGGTGCAATCCATAGCTCACTGCAGCCTCAAACTCCTGGCTAAAGTAATCTTCTCTCCAGCGCCTCTCCCAAGTAGCTAGACTACAGGCCATGCACCAACATGTCTGGCTAATTAAAATTTTTTTTTTTTTGTAGAGACAGGTTCACTATGTTGTCTAGGCTGGCTCAGACTCCTGGCCTCAGCAATTCTCCCACCTTAACCTCCCAAAGTGCTGTGATTACAGTGTCTGAGCCACCATGCCACCCAGGACTTTCTATTTTATGAGATTTTGGTCTTGTAGGTTTTGTATTTTTAGAAATGTGTCCATTATATCTGGTTATCCAACTTTTTGGCATAAATTATGTATAATACTGTCTTAT